ATATTACGAGTCATCAAATTTAGATCAAACAGTCAGTAGCTCACTTGATCTAAATTGGATGGGTGGATGGTGGAGGAAAATGTATATTTTCTATACAGTAAGGGAAGTATATAGATCTTTCCCTTCTCTTTCTTGACACTAGTGGTGGCAATTGGCCGTGTTGACTCGAATCTGGGTTTGGGTTGACCCAACCTGATCCAACCCATTACCACTTCTATTGGACCATTGTTCGCAAAATCACCCGTTCTAACCACTAAGTTAGATCGGAACCAGCCTGTGGTCTATTCCGGTTTTGGGCAGTTAGGGTGATCAATCGGTATTTTTCTAAAACCAATTCAAAAATATATATATAAATTCTAAAAAATAAGGAATTTAATTTGTTTAAATATTCTTTACATTATGGTAAAGACTAAAAATTGTTTTGATAATTAATACTCATTTTTATATTTTTCCATCTTTTTTAGAAAATTTTAAAATAGCCATTGGAAAATATAAAATGGGTTAAAATCTATTTTTTTTATTAATTTTCAACTTATTTGTTTTGTTCTAATCATTCTTTATATGTTTTTCATATTTTAGTAAATTTTTGTTTTTTTTTTTTCAACACCTTTTGACCGCCCAGGACTTGCCCTGTTAGAGCTGTTGAATCGGTCGATTAAGCCGCTTCCAAGCCCATGTCCAGTTAACCATTCCAGTTCGATTTTGCGATCAGTAGTTGTAGGCCATTCCATTATTTATTGGCTTTTTGAAGAGGTAAGTCTCTCTTAATTCCTTGGGATATCCTCAGGAGCTTGGTTACAAATTCGATGAGGCATGTTGTTAACAGCATACCCTTCTCATTTCTTACCGGCTCAATCATGGTGGTAGCACCCTCATATCCTAGTCACGTCGTGGTTTTATTCCCACATACAGTACCTCACTAATAACTTCACAAAACTAACTCTTAAGCTATTTGAAAAAACGGTTAGGGGCCTGTCTTTCGCACTGAATTACCTAAAAAAAAAAAGTCCGGGTGGAGGGCATTACGCCCACACACACAAGTATATATTTGTATATCTAAAATATAGAAAAATGCTTAAAAACACCAATAAATGAGTATTTCACTCGTAGCTCAAAACTGTCCTAAATCAATTAAATGGTCATAATCAACTGATAATGTTTGAATTTTAATACTCTTTTCTAAATCAGATTAATCTCAAATTTTGTGGATACACCAAAGAATAATGATACTATGAGACCCTTCCACACCCATATGAGTAGGACCCCAAATTATCACCATTAAATTTTGGCACAGATCTCTAGAAAAGTTATCAATACACCGATTCACCCAAGTCCCACACCCATGTGATAACTTTTCTAGAGATCTGTGTAAAAATTTAATGGTGATCATTTGGGGTCCTACTCACATAGGTATGGGAGGGTCTCATTGTGTCATTACTTTACACCAAATTACTGGTGAATTTATAATTGCCAAATAATTTCACGCTCCTGAGGGAGCATAATGTCCATTTACTCCCTCAGTCAAAACCCAATCTAGTAGTATATTTAGGAACCCAAAATTTGGGGATGTGACATCTTCAACCCAGTGCTATATTCAAATACATAAATAAAAACCAAATTGCATTATCTAAGGGCCTAAAAATATTAATTCTTCAAGATTGACCAAAAGTAGATATCTAAGTTTAGAAAACCCAATATTTACATTTTTCTTTTGAATATGATCATCTGTCATTAACAAAATTTCAATTTGAAAAATTCTTCCCAAGTCAGTCTTCTACCCGAGAAGTAGGTGTATAGTATACTCCTGCAGAGCATAGTACATGCGCTCTTTATATAATTTACTGATCCAAAACTCT